TTTACTACAGTTAAAGTTTTTTTTTAAAAATATGATGAATATAATAATAATAATAATAAGGCTTGTCTTCGAGTCTAAAGTTTAATCAGGAATTAATTATTTCCCGTGGATACACATCCCAGCTGTGAAGAACATCTTTTACCATATCCTGCGCAGGATTAACCATTGTTCATCGGTGGTCGATTAAGATTTCCTTTTTGCAGTCTACGGCTGTCTTCGGCAGCGGATTTTCTTTTGGTCTCAAATGTGTATCCCGCGGCCTTTGTAAGTGACCTTCAGCTGTCTCGTTCTGAAACTGTTCTATGTCAATTAAAACAAATTGAGGAAAGACAACTACGACACGGTGCCGCCATTGCGTCGAGGACGACGAGACAATAGTTCATATTCTTTATGAGTGCCGAGCTCTGCTTGGGGGACGTTCGGGACAAGGAATTAAGAGAGAGAGAATACTGGTCCTTGTGCGGCAAGAGGTCTGTCCTTGTAAGGAGATAGGCGACCTCACAACTCACTGCCCGCTTCCTTTTCCGTGCTATAAGGGAGTAATCTCAGCATGGTTTGTTACTAATGGGGTTTCTGATTCGGTCTCTAAATCTGGTATGGACAGTAAAGAGGGACTTTTATTGTCCCCTCTGGGGAGGGCACGCATGCTAAAAGCAGTGATTTTTGTTGAGCTAAAAGCTGGTCGTCGTAATAGAGGCGCCCTATGGAAATGCTTTAAAGACCAAATTGGAGCAACTAAAGAGCACCTGCATTCAGGCGGCTTCAGAACGAGACAGTTGAAGGTCACTCACAAAGGCCGCGGGATACACATTCGAGATAAAAAGAAAAACCACTGCCGAGGACAGACGTAGATGGCGTAAAGAGAATCTAAAATTGACAACCGGCAGACAATGGTTAAGTCTGCACAGTCACTGGATGTGGCAAAATATTTAGGTCGCAGCTGGGGCTTAGTAGACACGTGAAAAATAACGCACTGCACTCCCCATTAATCTTTGACCTCGAAAAAAAAAGCCTTATTATTAGAATTATAACATAGAAAAGTAAGAATATTCTTATAAGTTGTAATAACCCTGCCTTGTTCACAACCATTTAAGATAGTGCAGAGGGTGCGCTTTGGCAAATGTGACAGTGAACGCACTTTGTGGTCTGAATTTATTGATGTTTTTGCATGACTATAGAAGATTTAAGACTGATAACGTCTATAGGGTTTCTTAGGCCTATAGAGTACGAATCAGGGGCGGATTGACTATATGGGCATTTGGGAAATGCCCGTGGGCCGGTACCCGATTGGGCCGGTAATGCCGCATGACTGAGAATAAAATCTTTTAAAATTACATAATATTCTCTTTAAATGCAACGCTTTGAGCGTCTCGATTAAAAAAAATCTTGTACACTATAAAGTCTAATTCTAATCTAAAGCAGTCATATATACCCTACATCCGTATATAGTGGTTTTAGTAGATATCAATTCCTTATACATACTAAACGATAAACAAGAAACTTAAGGCCATTATTTAGTGTGATTATATTAGGATAGATTTATCAGGAGACCAACAACCTTAATGTCCTATAGAGGACATGTCCCAGTCACATACGAATTCTTATTGGTTTAGTGCAGTTGTCACGTGATCACGAGCTGGCCTATCTACGAAGTCCTTCACAAAACCAAAATTATTATCTTGAATAGTGTAGACATGTGTTGAATGGAATCAAAACGCAAGAGAATCGAAACAGAAGGTGCAGAACATAAGTCAGATAAAAAGCAACTATTGCTAGAATCCTGTGCAAAACAAATTTAAGTAAAATTCTGAATGTTTTCTCACAAGCTCTAAGAGATTCACAGACGTTATGATGACAGCATTTATGAATGAACAGACTCAACGCCATAAGAAGACAAAGATATAGACTTAGATCGAAATACATAGAGGGTTTGCTAAAATATGAAATAATCTTGACAGCATTAATTTTTTTGAACGCAAGGATATTAAATTACCGTCAAACAAGTGGACTTGTAGATGTTCTGTTGTGTGTGTCGCCAACTGCCAGATGCAGGCAGTCAAACTAGGTTTCCAAGATATTGAGAAAGCAGTATTTGAGGGGCGTTCATTTTCAGACTTCATTCATTGTGCTCCCTTACTCTTGTTCCTTTCACTTGGACCTTGTGCCTGATGGCGACTGGACACACCGACATTAGACACTCTAAATGTTAATTCCCCCCTTCAGACCTTGCGATAGGTCACAGACCAAAAGCTTGCTTACAGTGTCACTCAATTTTATGACAGCATTAATTATTATTTATTTATTCCATCCTAATTATTTTCTCTGGCAAAGTCCAATTCTACCCCCAAATCTTTTTCTCTTCTCGCTAGATTTACTCTACCACAGTGGCAACTACATTGTCATGTACCTTGGCTTATCTCCCCTTCTCCTGCTACGGGATTCGAATAATCGATTCCTCCCTGCTCCTACATCGGAATCCCCATTAGCCCTCCTGGCTCTATGCCACGACTTCCAGAACTCCTGGTACTGTTAAACCCAATCTTAAATCCGTGGCTGGAGGAAGGAACCTTGGCATCAGCGAACACTGAGTACTAAGTTTACCCGAAGTCATTTCTAGCAACCGCAGCCTGCCTAATCATCGTTGATTTTGCCCCAACCTTGCTGTGTCACATATATTGGCGGTCGGGCTATTTACTGATGCTCATGTTAGCAGACTAAGACAGTCTACAGCACCAAGACAGAGGGATGAGCTTCTGAGACATCATACGAACAACAGGGCACTCACACAATTATGCAGTCAGCAGTCACTATGATGATTTTTTTTTTTTCTTATAGATATGTTACTTTAGGATGTACGATTATACTTCTCACTTTTGTAATCCCTCCCCTTTTTATCTTTATTTATATTAATGACATTTATTTTGTTTACTAAAGGGATTCTTATCTCTATTGTATGCTACATGTGTGTTCTGTTTCCGACCTGTAACTCAGGCTGGTCTATGGTGACGTTCGAAATCCCTAGACCTAACGTAACTAAAACTAAATTATTTCCATAATTAATTATTTTTCATTAAACACACCTCCCAGAGCCTAATGACAATGGGGGCCTTTTTCCGCGGCGCGTGACACTATCTATACGGCAGATGATGTGCGGTCATCTGGTTCTTTGGCCAATGGTTACCTAGCCAATACAAAGACCAACCGTCTGTACTTACCCCAACTAAAGTCACGTACCCGTTACAGTTGGGTGGACTCAGGGGAGCGTTAAAAATCCCGAAATTCAAAATATAATGTACACATTGCCTTCCGAACTGCCGTGTAGAGTAATTGTTTTGTTTAAATCTCTTTTTTTTTGTTTGTTTGTTTTGTTTATATGAATTAAATTCTAACACATTCTGCAGGACTTGTATACTAGTTTTTATGTTTAGATGACCTTTACATCATCTTCCCCATTGAATGCATAGATCGTAAGGTCTTAAAGGGAAACAAAGGGCTATAAAACAAAATGACAAGTTTGTTGTTTATCCTGCATCTTCAAGTATATAAATATTTTTAAAAAAACCAGATAGATCAGTATTGCTTTATTATTTCTTTCACATTTACCTGTTCGCACATATATCCAATCACAAAGCATGGAAAATAAAATATACATTTCACATGTTGGATCATCGTTTAACAACAATTAAAAAAACAACAACATAATTTGTATTGATTGTGATAACAAAACATATAAATAATAATAACAGGTATCAAGGCTTTTGTTGTTTCAGTTATGTCACCAACTTTTTTTTGTGCTAATTATTTGTCCTTTAAACATTTTTATAAGTGAAAAGTACCAGGTGACTGAACCTTGCTCGGCTGAATGATTTGTGAAAGACATTTACGTAGAGAATTATATATTTAGATATCTTGAAATTTTGAAAAAAAAAATCTTTTAAGTCGTTTTTGAGATAAAATGTATATATATAGAGATATAAATATTAAAAAAAATATATACACACATACATATAAATTTTGCAAGCTTAAGAGTATATGATGCACATAAAGGCCTTTTGTGCGTTGCATTATTGGGTTTATTTTTTTAAACAAAGCTTATATCAACTCACTCTGTCTGTCTGACCAAAAGTTTGTTCACGTTATTCCTCCGACGCTCGATCTCGGATGAAGCTGAACTTTTACACAATTATTCTTTCACCTTATAACATAAGAATCAGTAATAAAAAAAAAAGTAAGAATTTTACCAATTAGTAAATTAACAATTAATAATAAATTATTTTGTTTAATAACTCATATAAGGGAAAAAGTACTTGGTTAATATAGTGGTATAAGCTGAATTAGTCCCCATGATTTAAGCTTGTCGTCTGAGGGAACACAAACATAAAATAGAAACAATAGACGAATTAACAATCTTCCATGTTCATAGACTCTACGCTAGCAGAGTGGTTACTGCGTTAGAATGAGAAGACTATGAAAGTTTTAGTCCGCAAGTTTGATTTCAGGTGGTTCCCTTTAAAAGAAAAAAATTAAAAAGGGATCATCCAAATATGCCGTTCTTTCTCCTCCCTACCCCCTCTCCAACTGGTCCAGACAAGTGGTAGGATCATAGCGCCCCAAGTGAGCTGTTCTGCCTCATCGTGGCACCTGGGTGGAAACGGCTACTTGAGGGGGTAGCTAGGCTAAATGAATGGCGAAACATAACTCCCGTGGGGATGCCCACGGGTAGACGAGAGTCCACCCATTGCACGGGCGGGGTTGTAAAAAAGTCCCCACAAACCTGTCACACATCCATGCGCCGTTCCTCAAAAGAAACGTTACATAAATGACGAGTCCCCCACGGTTAGCTTGGTATAACGAAGGAAAATGACGGAGGCTCCCGGAGTCCTCGGCCTTCGGCCATAAACGGGGAATCATGCGTCGGGGGCCAAAGGCATTGGAAACAGCAATGTTTTATATAGGCATTGACTCGGGTCGCTCTCAAACAGAACTGTGCGCTCACACAGGTTTTTTTTTTTTTTTTTACTGTTCGGCTGGACGACCAAACAGGTTTTTTTTTAAAACTTAGGGCTCGAAGAGCCTTCGGCTCAGCCCTTGGACATCACAAGAAGAAGGATCATAGCGTAGTGAGAACGATAAAAGCATGGAATTGCGCGAAACAAGAACAATGGAAAAGTATTTCAGTGCACTAGCGGATCCAGGGGGGAGGGGCGGTAGGGACGATCGCCCCCCTCCCACTCGGCCAACCCTCCCCCCCGAAGGGGGGGGGGCGGGCGAACTTTAGTATAGGATTCACACAATTTGTATACGAATTTATTACTTATGTTAAAAATATATACTACTTATTTATATTTCAACCTATTTTTAGATTATTTCGCCCCCTCCCCTCTAGTATGTTGGCCGATTTGGTGGGGTCGGGAGGGGGCGATGGTATCAAAAAAAAACTTTCGAGTAAGGGGGGGGGGGTCCAATTTTTTAGTAGAAATCACAGCTTGCTAACAAAATCAATTAAATATCTATATTTGTAAGATTTGTTATTGATATTTTAGCCAATCTTTATATTATGTCGTTCCCTGTTTGCCGATTGTTGTAGGTGCGGGCGGGGGGCGAATACCTCTACTGCCCTTCCCATCTAAACCCTTTGAGTGGTGGGGGCGGTCCGTTTTTATGGAGAAATCATAGTTTGTGAACAAAATTAGTTGAATAAATATATACATTTTATATTATGTCGCTCCCTTTCTGGTATTTTGGCCGATTCGGTGGGGTGAGGGGGGGGGGGCGATTGCATGTACTACCCTCCCCACTCAAGCCCTCGGAGTGCTGGGGGGGGGCGATCCTATTTTTGTGGAGAATCATAGTTTGTGAACAAAATTAGTTTAATATCTACATAATATAAACTACGTATTGATATGTGACCCATTGTATATTATGTCGTACCACACTCTAATCTCAAATTGTATCATTAGTAAATTTAAATGAAAAAGGGTTGTACCAGGTGGGAAGGGGCGATACATGCAACCGCATTTCCCCCCATCTGACAAATCAATACTTTTTCTTTTTGTATTATAGTTAAGAACTTACAAAATTAAAAAAATCTGTCACTAATATAATTTATATATACTATAAATTAAATTCTTATATCGAGTCGCCCCACCCTTATTCGTTAATGCCAAATGCAATCTTTAGCAGAAATTGTTAAAGGAGCGAGGATTAATCATTTTCACTCTACCGCCCCTTCCCTTTCCAGACAAAGTTTATGTAATTTCAAATGAATTTATCATAATTATTTTAAGAAAGACTTTGCATTGGAAAAGTTAGAATTCAAACAATTTTTTTTAGTATAAGAGTCATGATTGAGATGAGTTCTAAGCCCAGATAATGTTTTCGTAGTTGCCTTTTCCCAACCTTACTCAATCTGATATTTTTCTAGTTAGATAAATTTGGGACTATAACTCACAATTTATACTTGAATTTTCTTGAATACTATTTATCGAATATTTTTTTTTTTTGGCGGCGATCCTCAAAGCAAAAATCTAAGTATGTGGGGAATCCTATCTTTTCAAGGAACAACTCGGTTTTATTTGCAATATATTATGGGCCTATAAATTCATATTAGAATATATTTAAAGTACAACATTATTCGAAAGGTCATTTTATTAATAGTATGAATAATGAGCTTCCCGAACTCCATTGATGAATAATGAGCTGTAGATGTCAGGAGAATACGTTTCTGCGATGAAAAAAGCAAGAAACGCTTTTGTCGTCGGGGCTTCTCCCCGAACCCCACAAAAGAACCTTATAGCGCTGCCCCAGTTGTTTTGTTTTTCGCATATATATATATATATGTGTGTGTGTGTGTGTGTGTGTGCTGTACGCACGTTTATGCATAGGGTTAGGGTTTACTGGGCATTAGGGTTAGGGTTTGGAAAAAAATCGCCCCCCCCCCACTCCAAAGTTCTGGATCCGCTAGTGTTTCAGAGTCTAGATCTATTACAAAATTTAATTACATGACTGATCCAAACTCAACACACTTAATATGGGCTATATTTTTCTAAAGTTCTTTTTTGTATTTTGCTGTTTTTTATTTTTTTTTTATTTTCTCTTCCTGGCATGTTTTTGTGCACTGTAAGTTATGTTAGCCTGTTCATGTTACTTTTATATCACACTGTCATGTTTCAATCACTTCTACATTTCATTGTCATCTTTCTATCACTTCTACATCACATTGTGATGTTTCTGTCACTTCTATGTCACATTGTCATGTTTCTATCACTTCTACATTACATTGTCATGTTTCTGTCACTTCTACATCACATTGTCATGTTTCTGTCACTTCTATGTCACATTGTCATATTTCTGTCACTTCTATGTCACATTGTCATGTTTCTGTCACTTCTATGTCACATTGTCATGTTTCTGTCACTTCTATGTCACATTGTCATGTTTATGTCACTTCTATGTCACGTTGTCATGTTTCTGTCACTTCTATGTCACATTGTCATGTTTCTGTCACTTCTATGTCACATTGTCATGTTTCTGTCACTTCTATGTCACATTGTCATGTTTCTGTCACTTCTATGTCACATTGATATATTCATCGTTATGGTCGCTACTGACATAAAGTGCATTTTCAAAACCGTTAGGGTGTAGAAGTTGTTCATCACTGGCTGGTCTTCCCTTTCCACGTCTTACAGCGTAAATTGTTGCTAAGACGACGAGGATAAAAGCTGACAAAATGACTATCACAATGGCTGCTACACCACCACCACTGATGTTTGAACTTGAATTATCGCTTCTCGGTGATAGGTTGACATTCTCTGGGAAACAATATTTCCAAATAAAGTAAATATAGTAAAACACATTGCAGGATGTCATTAATTAGTAAAAAAAAAAGTAAAGATCCCCTTTCAGATCTTGTGATCTATGGGGGGGGGGGGGAGGTGATGATGTGAAGGTCATCTGTTTCTGTACCCCACGGTTAACAAAGGGTGTCATGTGACCAACACAACGACCAACCGACTTTACTTTTTCCCCAGGATGTCATTAATTACTTAGCATTATTTAATGAATGTTTAATAGTAAGTATTTGAATACAAAGGTATAGGTATAACAAAAAGTTAATGTAAAGGTCATCTGTTTCTGCGGCCCACAGTTAACAAGGCTGTCATGTGGCCAGCGCAATGACCAACCGCCTTTACGTTTCCCCAACTAATGTCAGGTACCCATTAGAGCTGGGTGGACTCAGAGGCGCCCTAAACATCTCGAAAAAAAAATTCTCAGTCTTCATGAGGATTCGAACCCCGGAACCCTTTACCACTCAGTCACTGCGCCACCTAAGTATAGGTATAGGTATACTTTGCACTTATGTAGTGGATACTAAGCAGTTTTGTCATGGTATACTTAGGAGTTATGTTATGAGAAACTCAACAGTTATATAATTGTACATTTAGCAGTTATGTAATGGATACTTAGCAGTTATAAAATATAGTACTTAGTAAAAATGTAATGAATTATAGTATTACTAATAAAATACTATTTCTGACAATAACTTTAAATGGTGTTGTAAACTGTAAAGAAATGAAACTATAGAAAGTCAACTAAAGCTTTGAAATAGAATTTCATTTATTTTAACTTCAGTTTTTGGTGAAGAGTAAACATGTTGTTTTTACAAAGCTTATGTCGACTCACTTCTGTCTGTCTGTCTGTCTGGTAAAAAGTTTGAACATTTTTTTTTCTCCCATTCCCCATTCTCGGATCAAGTTGAAACTCTGCACAATTATTTATTGTACCTGACATGAATCCATCAAAAAAATACAAAATAAGTTCATTCAATATTGGTGATTAATTATTTTGTTAAATATTGAAATAAGGGAAATAACTGTTATTAAATGAGAAATGAACATGTATATATATGGATTTAATCCCTTTATCACGTTTTGACACTTTTTTTTACTCCCACTTCCCAGTCTCCGATCAAGTTGAGATTTCGCAAAATTATTCATAGTCGATAACAATACAAAAAATCAATTAAAAAAAGTAACCAATTAGTTAATCAATTAGTACTAATTAATTAATTTTGCTGTATTTATCCGAAAGGGAGCTAAACCCTGCTATTTTCAGAAAAAAAGGCAGTAATTAGCAGTACATTTCCTTACATAAGCTTTTTTCTATTTCATGTTTTTTTAAAATGCTCTGTTATTTAACTTTAATGGTGGATGAGCTGTAAAGCACTTGACTTCCGAAATGAAGGTCCCGGGTTTGAATCCCGGTGAAGACTGGGATTTTCATTTCAGGATTTTTGGGCGCCTCTGAGACCACCCAGCTCTAAATGGGTACCTGACATTAGTTGGGGAAAAGTAAAAGCGGTTGGTCGTTGTGCTGGCCACATGACACCCTCGTTAACCGTAGGCCACAGAAACAGATGACCTTTACATCAATCTGCCCTATAGACCACAAGGTCTGAAAGGGGGAGCTTTACTTTACTTTAATTTACTTTAAACAGTAAATTTAAGAATTCTTCTTTAAATAAATCAAACTTTAGATGATCTAGTAGTTACAAAAAAGAAGATTACTACTGTAAGACTTTTAAATGAAGTTATTTAAAATGTGTCAACATAATTACACTGAGCACTCACCTGAAACAGATGAGCAGATGTAACCAGGCAACTCAGTCAGGCAGTCTGCAGGATACCACTCTCCATTGTTGCTGTCTAACATGGCGCACTTTTTATTTTGACGATCTGAGATTTCTGGATAATCTTCAGCCCAGTTAATGTAGGTCATAGCCGAACCGTCAGTCCAATGGAAAGATCCTTTTATGAGAATAAATTATAACAAGCGAAATACAAAATAGAAAAAAATTTAAAAAAAAACATAACTTATATTAAGTGTATCCATTAGTTTGGATCAGTCATGCAATTAAAGTTTGATAAGCCTCATACTATAATTGGGACTAATTCAGCTTATAGCACCACTTCAAAGAAGTGCTATTTCTTTTCCTTGTTTGAGAAAAAAAAAAAGTAATTTTTACCAATAGATTTTTTTTATTGATTCTTGTGTTGTCAGGTAAAAAAAATAATTTTGCAAAATTTAAACTTGATCCGATATAGGGTGTAGGAGAAATATCGTGCACAATTTTTTGACCAGACAGACACGCAGACACACAGACAGACAGAGTGAGTTGATATGACTTATGAACTAATAACTACAATAGGATTAAATTAATGCCACTACTAGATTAGCTAATCTTTCATTTATTTAAAGAAGAATTATTACA